TCCTTGGCTACAAGTTGCTCCTTAGCTCTAGACTGTCCATGCTACACGTTCTCCTCAGGTTCATGCTGCTCCATGATCACATCAGCTTAGCCAATGCAAGACTCAACTCCTAAACATCCTAACAATATGAATGCGATCCGGGCCATACACTCTCTATGGAGCTCTTTCCCGCAATCACCAAACAACGAGTCACCCTCGGCATTGGTCGAAGCCATGCCACGCTTCCTCGAGACCAAGGTCAAATCCCACGCCCGGAATATCCTTAGCACGTGTATCCTAACCAATAGCCCAACGTAAATAGACTTAAGTATCTCGTCAAGCTACTTGCTTGACTTCACCTATGAAGTCCATAGTCAGACCTTTTGTAGTCCGACTGGATGCTCTGCCATAGCACCGTTTGGTCAAGCCTCCACTTTCCATCCTGGTCTCGTGTAATTCAGACACAGGCTAGCTTGGTCTCATTACCAAAGTCCTGCGAATCCACGATACAACATAAAATGACACTAGGCCATCGTGGTGTGATACGAAGCTCCTACTAATGCATCCTTGCCGACTGTTTCCAGACTCTATCGATGTGTCATCCCGATCTGTTATCGATGCGGCACGATCACCACTAACATTCACACTTCACCGTGGCACTGTCGAGGCATCACCGACCATATCGAGCCTTCTCGAGATGTGGCACGATGTCTATCGATTTGCGGCACAATGTTGTGCTTGTGTGGCATGATCTCTTATCGTGGCGTGGCAAAGTACCTTCATGTGGCGCGGCTTGCTGCCTTATCATAGCGTGGCATGGTACCTCATGTTAGTGCCCTGTCAAGACATCATTGAGGCACCCCGAGGTCATGCTGATGCCCTATCTAGGCCCTACTATAATCTGGATAGTGACGCTCATCGAGGCACCCATAGGCCATGTCGATTGTAACACCCCAATACTGTTCTATACATAGGACAGCCTAAGACGCCACAGTTGACGTGGTTTGACAAACGGTCGGTCTAGAGCTTAAGAACAAAAAAGAGATTCCAGTCCTTCCCCTTGCCTAACCGTCTCTCATGCAGCCTAAAGTTGGCCAACCCATACCATGGTCAGAGAGTTGTGTTAGTCCGGACAAAACTAAATATCAACACATCCACAACTTCAGCATTTACTGAAAATACATTTTATACATAATTATATATTTTACAAAATCTCAAGTTCAAAGTTTTACAGCTGCTAGGCTAAGACACACCCACACCCAAATACATTGCAATATAAATCAATGTTTTATC